GTTCGAAGTTTACTTCTTGACGACCTTCTTCGGGGCCGCTTTCTTGGCTGGGGTGGTTCTCTTCGGCTTCGGGGTCTTTGGCTTGTTGGCAGCGGTCTTCGAGGGCTTGGTGGCCTTTTGCTTGGGAGTAGCAGCCTTCTTCACGGTCTTGGCAACGGCTTCTTGGCAGCTTTAGCAACAGGCTTCTTGGCATTCTTATCACCGGCTGGCTTCTTCGCTTCGGTAGCTTTCTTGACCTTTTTCTCGCCGGCAGCCTTCTTCGGTTTCTTCTCAGTGGCGGCTTTCTTGGCTTCAGCCTTCAACTTGAATGATCCCGATGCACCGATTCCCTTGGTTTGGACAATCGTTCCTTTCTCGACGCCATTCTTCAAAGACTTCTTAAGGAACGGGGCTAGCTTGGCAATGTCGCACTTGTAGTTGGCAGCGATGTACTTCTTGATGGCCTGCAGCGACAATCCGTTGCGTTCCTTCAGGGTTTTGATGGCGGCAACAACCATTTCGTTCACCGGGGGATGGGTCGATGGTTTCTTGGGTTTGCCCTGTCCCTTCGGGGCCCTTGGCTTCTTCGTCTTGGCTGGCGAAGTGGCAGCTGGTGCTGCAGCAGCGTTCACGAAATATTTTGATATTTTCCGGTAACACAGATTAAAAATGTTAATTAAGGTATTTATCTTTGCATAATCAAATAAGCTGTTATCGGAATTTTAAAGATAAATAGTTAAGGTATCAGCTCACCAGTAACAAAAATGGCTGAGGTCAGCGACAGAGTAGAGCAAACCCAACAACATCAGCCCAACAAAACGGCCCTTTTCAGGGCCACCAAACTTTCGCAAAAGAGTTATTAAGGAATATTCCTAAAATATAATATACACAATTAAGTACAACACATAACAGACGTTATCCAACGCCAACCCTGCGGTCGTATCTAGTATACAACCCTTCCAACTTTTTTATTTTGTGTTCTGTCTACGCTTTCGACTATACACTGAGGCAAATAGACTTAAGAATTTCATAAGGCTCGACTTCTGAAGCACGTCTTATCAAAGATTTTCGTCTAACATGAGGTAGCTCTTCTACTCAGTTTTATTGTTTGGACGTAGACTACGTCTTACGGGAAGGTACTGAGGGTAAATCGAAAATCTAAAATTAAGACCGTCACGAAAAGGTGTAAGGCTTAGAACGCTTATAACTTTGTTATTAATAGATGCAATTAAAATCCAAACATATCAACCGATAGGAAATAACTCTCGTAAGCTGTTACAATAAACGCTTTTTCATTCTTTCATAAAAAAAACTGTTTTAAAATTGTACAAATGAAAAGTGAAAATGTTATCACTGTTTTCATGAAATAAACGTTCTTCCCAAATTCAGTCGTGATAATCGAGTACCATTTGGTTGCACATCGTGGTGCTTGAATCTGAAAAGTTAGCGTACTGCTGCTCCTACATCGGAGGGCCCTAGCAAGAAGACCCAAACGGATCCCAGCGCTGCTTCGGATGACGCAGCAAATCGGCTGCTACAGAGCAACCAATTCTCGGTGCTCGGAGTAGAAAATGGCGGTGGTGACGCCGCTGAAATTGCAAAAAAGGAGCGGATTCCCCCGCTGTTTACCCCGATGAAGGACGTCGCCCAGCTTAGGGATGAGCTGGCAAAACGCAAATTGTTCCCGCGATTCAAAATCTGTGGCGTTGGAACAAAGATCATGTGCTTCAGCCTACAGCAGTACAAGTCGGTCGGTGACCTGCTGAAGAACAGCACAGTGGAGTTTTACACTCACGATTTGCCTTCGATGAAACCATTGAAGGTTGTTTTACGAGGTCTGCCGTCGTACGAAGCGGCTACCGTAAAAGATGAGCTGGTAAGGCTCGGATTGAAACCAGAGGCAGTCCACCCAATGAATCGACGGCCTATGCCCAATACCAACTATCGTGACCAACTGTTTCTGGTCAACCTCACGAAGGGCTCCACCACCCTTGCTGCGCTCAAGAGCAACATACGTGACCTGTTTCAGGTCATTATAGACTGGGAATACTACAAGCCGCAACACCGTGATGTGACCCAATGCACAAGTTGCCTCTCCTTCGGCCATGGCACGAAGAACTGTCATATGAAACCACGTTGCGACAAGTGTGCTATGGCTTATTCGACGGCGACCTGTGCTCAAGCTGATGAAACCGACCCGAAGTGCGTGAATTGCGGCGGAACGACACACGACAACAAACAGAGTCTACTGGGACGAAACAAATAGAACCCGGGGTTACCATCCCACTTGCAACAGCTAAAAAGCAAAAGAAGTTTTGGCTGTACTTGTCCGGTTTCGACCCTTCAGCATCAGCAACTCAAATCGAAAAGCTCGTCAAGGATAATCTCGACACTGATGATGACATTTTAGTAACTAAGTTAGTTCCCACAGGCAAAAATCTTAACGAACTTACTTTTGTTTCCTTCAAAGTCGGAATTGGTTTGCAGCTGCAGGAACAAGCCCTCTTTGGATCGACGTGGCAACAAGGAATAGTATTTCGTCCATTTGATTCCAAGCAATCATCGTCGGATCGGCCTATTTTTCGCTTCGGACCCACAACACAGTAGTTCACTGGGCGCCCTAGATATCGGTGCAGCCTCACAGATGATCAGCTGTTCAACTGATATGGCAATAACCACAACAACACAGTCCCGAAACACAACCACTCCTTTACATCCAGACTCCACTGATAGACAGCAGCAATTCATTAACAATATACATTGTACGTCCACGCTGTACTACCAGAATGTACGTGGGTTACGCACCAAAACAAACCAAGTACTGCTAGCACTATCCCAATCTGACTACGATGTGATAGCTTTCACCGAAACCTGGCTCGATGCTGATATTTCAAATTCTGAATTATCACACAACTATACAATCTATCGCTGTGATCGCAACGCCACAACAAGCCAATTTCGACGAGGTGGTGGTGTTTTGGTCGGCGTCCGTAATGCATTGAACAGTGCCGCTGTTTCGATTGCTGGTACCGAGTGTCTGGAGCAAATAATCGTTCGGATCAAGCTGCCTACATTTGAACTCTTCGTCTGTTGTATTTATCTCCCTCCCAAAAGCGACAATGCATTGTATGAACAGCACTGTTCATGTGTTCAAAGACTGATGGATCAAGCGGGTGATCGTGGTTTGGTTGTTGTTGTTGGTGACTACAATCTACCCTTCTTGAATTGGGACCATGATGATGAATTGCTATGTTTGCTATCTACAAATACGTTTTCTGAGCAGGAGTTCACTGTGGTTGAATCGTTCATCGCTAATGGTCTGCATCAGTTGAATCATTATGGTAATGCGAATGGAAGGATACTAGATTTGGTTTTCTCTACTGATATCAATGTACTCGAGCTTGTGGAGCCCCCGTCACCGCTACTGCGTGTTGATGAACATCATAAACCATTGGTGCTTGTGATTGAAACTGCAAGCGAATGTGAAATTTCCCGAGCAACTGATCCGTTAGATTTTGACTTCAAGCGATGTGATTTTGCAGTTTTGAGCTCAATTATTTCAGACGTCGGATGGGTGAATCTTCTAATTGGTTGCAGTGTCGACGAAGCGGTATCGATATTCTACGACAAGCTTTATGGAATCATCAGCGAAGTTGTGCCTCTAAAACAACGGATCGACACCCACAGTAAGAAACAACCATGGTGGTACAATGAACTGCAACGGCTGTGAAATCGTCTACGCAGGCAAGGAAGCGTTACTTTCGGTCTAGGAATGAACAGCATAAGGCTGAGCTGCGTGACTTAGAGAGCGAATATAACTCTTTGCATGCACAATGCTTTCGCTGCTACATTCATCGTACTGAAGCAAGTTTGAAACAGGCCCCCAACAATTCTGGCAATATGTGAAGACCCGTAAGCGATCCAACGGAATGCCTCGACATCTTCGTTACCAAGGTGAGGCAGCTGAATCTCCATCAGAATCTGCAAATCTGTTCTCGGCGTTCTTTCGAAGTGTGCAAAGTAATAACCGACCACCTTTGACTGAATCGTACTTGAGCAATTTGCCACACTACGACTTGAAAGTGATCGTCTACAACTTCTCTCGGCAAGATGTTTTTGCTAAGCTGGTTTCTATCGACACTTCGAAAGGAGCAGGTCCAGATCGTCTGTCACCTTTCTTCATCAATCGGTGTGCGGAGTCAATCGCTTTGCCTGTGAGTATACTCTTCAACAGATCTCTTTCGGAGGGCATATTTCCCAACAAATGGAAAACTGCAGCCATCACTCCCATTCATAAAAGTGGTAATGTTAATGACGTCGAAAATTATCCTGCAATTTCGATTTTGAGTTGCTTTCCTAAAGTCTTGGAGAGTCTTGTCCATGATTCTTTGTATCGTAACGTTCAACATGTGATATCAGAGAGTCAGCATGGATTTGTCAGGAAGCGGTCAACAACAACCAACCTGATGTGCAACGTTTCTTCTCTTCCTTTCTTCTCGACCTTCAAGATGCAGTTTATGTCGACTTTTCTAAAGCATTTGACAAAGTGCCGCATGCACTGGCAGTGGAAAAAGTTGGAAGGGTTGTATACTAGATACGACCGCAGGGTTGGCGTTGGATAACGTCTGTTATGTGTTGTACTTAATTGTGTATATTATATTTTAGGAATATTCCTTAATAACTCTTTTGCGAAAGTTTGGTGGCCCTGAAAAGGGCCGTTTTGTTGGGCTGATGTTGTTGGGTTTGCTCTACTCTGTCGCTGACCTCAGCCATTTACTGGTGAGCTGATACCTTAACTATTTATCTTTAAAATTCCGATAACAGCTTATTTGATTATGCAAAGATAAATACCTTAATTAACATTTTTAATCTGTGTTACCGGAAAATATCAAAATATTTCGTGAACAATCAACAATTCAACATTCGCGCTTATCTCCCTAGCACAGACTTCAAAATCTTACATAGGTCTGCTGTCTCTTACCGACTAATCCAAACAGTGTATCTACCTTATTCAAGCCGAAATGTCTGAAGTTGCAACCGTAGGCGCTGCTGCAGCACCAGCTGCCACTTCGCCAGCCAAGACGAAGAAGCCAAGGGCCCCGAAGGGACAGGGCAAACCCAAGAAGCCATCGACCCATCCCCCGGTGAACGAAATGGTTGTTGCCGCCATCAAAACCCTGAAGGAACGCAACGGATTGTCGCTGCAGGCCATCAAGAAGTACATCGCTGCCAACTACAAGTGCGACGTTGCCAAGCTAGCCCCGTTCCTTAAGAAGTCTTTGAAGAATGGCGTCGAGAAAGGAACGATTGTCCAAACCAAGGGAATCGGTGCATCGGGATCATTCAAGTTGAAGGCTGAAGCCAAGAAAGCCGCCACTGAGAAGAAACCGAAGAAGGCTGCCGGCGAGAAAAAGGTCAAGAAAGCTACCGGAGCGAAGAAGCCAGCCGGTGATAAGAAAGCCAAGAAGCCTGTTGCTAAAGCTGCCAAGAAGCCAGCTGGTGAGAAGAAAGCCAAGGCTGCCGTTGCCAAGACCGTGAAGAAGGCTGCTACTCCCAAGCAAAAGGCCACCAAGCCCTCGAAGACCGCTGCCAAGAAGCCAAAGACCCCGAAGCCGAAGAGAACCACCCCAGCCAAGAAAGCGGCCCCGAAGAAGGTCGTCAAGAAGTAAACTTCGAACGTGTTGTTGATGTTCAACGACACAGAATTACCCAAAACAGTCCTTTTCAGGACTACCAATAATGCAGTTAAAGAGTTCTGTTTCAAGAATTGCGACATCACATTTATTTATTAATCATATCATTAATCGACATAATTCATCAACATAGGTTTCATTTAATATTGCAACATGTGCAGGACTTAAAAATGTGCCAGTGATGCAATATTTCTATATGGAATAAGAAGAAACGGAGTTATTTCAAAAATGGGAAAATTCCACTACCTTTAAAATTAACCCGAGGACCATAATTGAAGTCACTAAAACCGAAATCAGTAATAATATGCTGGAAACATGACAAAAATTTCTTTCATTGTATGTAGCAGACCGTGCCACATTCATCCAAATGACTTTATCCACAAATTATGAAATATTTGAAAATTTCACAACACAAAATCTTCGAATTATGTACCACAATCAATTTGTATTTTTATGTTGGAAATTTTATGAAGCTTTCCATTTCCATTGGACTGAATCGTTGTTTCCTTTTATTCTATCAAAAATAAACAGTACAAGTTGTCAGTTACAAGAGTGTTATAGGTTTACTATTTTGAGTTTTGACAATGACAACCCTGCGATAAGCACGACCTAAATTTTAGTAGCCAATAGTTAAGGAACCCAGCGATGAGTAATATTGGCTCATGGTTTCCTGTGGAAAATCTCAAAAATCAGCCGGAAAATGAAATTATTTTACTCTAAGTAGGAGTAGTACCAATGAATGTGTGTCCAATATTTACTTTTCTCAGTAAGTTTATCCTGGACAAACATGAGACATTTTCTCATTGCTGAGTTCCTGCACTTACAACAAGCTAACTTAACTCAAATTTGGGTGGCCGTGATGCCCTATTAAAAATTGTGGTCATATACCGAGGAAAAATTACTTGAATGTAACAGTTCATCGAATGACGTTTCCCTGTAATTCCTTCAGCACACCTACTGCTTATCGAAATAAAACGCTCGAATAAGCTCGATATCTTTCCCCAAAGCGCGTTCGGACAACTCAGACGTTTTCATTAATTTCTTCTCTCGATTCCGGAAGTGCACGACGTATCTGGAACTACCACACCAAAATGTATGCAGAATATTGTCGGTACTGGATTAGTAGCGGTAACCAGCAGGACCTACGTTGATTTAAGCTTAACACCCGCAGATTGATGAACGCTCCATCACATCACTTCAACCTTTCACATTCTGGCAAGAAAGTCAATTTTAAAACACCTTTTAAATTTATATGGTGGCCCTGAAAAGGGCGGGTTTTTTGGTTCTGAGTCGATGATACTAAATTAACCCCCGAATCCGTACAGAGTACGTCCCTGCCGCTTCAGAGCGTAAACGACATCCATGGCGGTGACAGTCTTCCTCTTCGCATGTTCGGTGTAAGTAACGGCGTCACGAATAACGTTTTCCAGAAATACCTTCAGCACTCCTCTGGTTTCTTCGTAAATGAGACCGGAAATTCTCTTAACTCCACCACGACGAGCCAAACGACGGATTGCAGGTTTAGTGATGCCCTGGATGTTGTCACGCTGGTGATTGGTGGAGTGCCCCTTTCTGAACCCAAACTGTTCAGGAAGGAGAATGTTATTTTCCTCGACAAACTTGAGCAAACGATTGAGAATGAATTTCTCGAACAATTTGCTCAGCGCTGAAAGGAGGCTGATTGGTCTGTAGCTTGAAGACAATGTTGGATCCTTACCAGGTTTGCGGATTGGTAGATGGAACGGGCGACCTTTTTGGACGCTTATATAGTAGAACAGAAAATATCAGAGGTGTCAGATACTCGCATCTGATGTCTCGGTTGGAGAAAGTATAAGAATAATAAAAAAATCAATCGATTTTCACCATCTTCAGACAATGGTTTACTTTTAACCATTTTTCAATAGTTTACTGAATGAAATCAATTGTTTTGAAACATTCAGCAAATTGCTAGAAATATTTACAATCGATTGATGCCATTATCTCGTAAATCTATCGAGAGACGGTTGAGTTATTATCGTTCAAAATCTTTTAATTTTTCGTAACGCATCCAAAATGACTGTTTTCAATTTTGTACCCCCGTATGTTGCCGAAAGACGTTATCCAACGTCAAAACTCAAACGCATGGGATTCCCTCAGTGGCTTACGCAATGGATTGAATCGTACTCGTCTGAGCGTTGGGCTTTTGTACGCCTTGGTGGAACCTCATCTGAAACGTTCTCAATTACTTCCGGGGTTCCCCAAGGAAGTCATTTGGGACCATTACTTTTCGTGCTGTTTGTTAACGATCTGTGCGGACTCATAAGATCATCGAAGTACATGTTCGCTGATGACCTGAAATTCTTCCGCCTGATAACCTCCATGGTCGATTGTTGCGCTCTTCAGATGGATATCGACTCGCTTCTTGAATGGTGCTCATTAAACGAAATGGAAGTGAATATTCGTAAATGTAACATCATCTCGTTCAACCGATCTAGGACAACTGCCATTTTCGATTATAAGATGAACGCTTCAAGTGTCAACCGTGTGTCATCAATCGTCCAATCAAGAATCTTGGATTAATACTGGACAGTAAGCTGAAATTCACCGAGCACATTGCAACAACCACCGCCAAAGCATATGCGATACTAGGGTTCATCAAGCGCAACACGCAGCAATTTGAGGATGTATACTGTCTAAAAACATTGTATTGTTCGCTAGTGCGTAGCATGCTGGAATATGGCGTTCTAGTATGAGCACCGTATCACGTCACGCTTTGCTTTCGCATTGAAAAGATTCAACGTAACTTTGTCCGCTACGCTCTACGACTGTTACCATGGAACGATCCGGTTGTTCTTCCGCCGTATGAGGATCGCTGTGCTTTAATTCGTCTTTCAACATTGGCTGATAGAAGGATTCTTCTGCAACGGCTGTTCATATTCGACATTCTGGACAACAATGTAGATTGTGCTGAACTTCTAGGGAAAATCCAGTTCCAATCCAATGCACCGGCTAGGCAGACGCGACAAAATGACCTTCTCCGTATTCCTCAGCATCGTACAGTCTACGGTCAAAACAATCCACTGGATGTTTGCTGTCGTCGTTTTAACGAATCGCGTGAAGATTATGATTTTAATATTTCGAAAACCATGTTTAAAAATAGAATTAATTCTTTAACTAGACATTAATAATTCTGTCTGTGCGTTTTTATTATACGAAAACAAGTAAATAAATAAATAAAAATAAAAACTCACCGTGCCACTACTCGGGACTGCCCCAAGCGAACGGAATTCATCACCATGAGGAAGAAGGTGGCTACTAGAAACCAGCCAGGCCGGCATCGAAATAAACGTGCACCACCAGCCATCACGGACGAACAATACCCGGCAATCCATCCTCGTCATCTGGTCCCAAATCTTCCACCGCTACCTCGCAACAACAGTCAACGAGCCGTCGCCACAGCTCAGCATCGCCTCACTGCTGCTGCAGCTCTGCCAAATCAAGCTTCTGTCTCGGCGCCTGGACTATTGTATGCCCGTGTTGCCTCAGGTGACTCAATTGACGAATCTCCGTTAACATCAGAGGAACTAGTAACGCTGGTTGCAGAGGTGACCGTCATTCTGCGCACCTGCAAGACTCGATCTGAACAGCTTCATGCTGCCTTGTCACTCGTTACCAAGTATGGACCGTGAAGCTATAAAAATTGCAAATTGGAACGCTTGCTCACTGACGAACAGGCATAGAGAGCTACTCGATTTCCTCAACACCAAGGAGGTCGACATTGCTATCATCACCGAGACGCATTTGAAGCCCGAATTGAACGTATTCCTTCCCGACTTCCGGCTCGTCAGACTTGATCACACCTGTTCTGGAGGTGGAGGAGTGGCCATCGCTGCAAGACGGAACATCAGTTGCCGGCTGCTACCAAACTTCCAGCTGAAAACAATTGAAGCCATCGGAGTGGAGGTGAGCACATCACTTGGCCCAATCACCATCATCGCGGCCTACTGCCCCAAGCAAACCAACATCAGGGACGGGTCGTCAGTGGCCCTCCGGCAGACATCATCAAACTCACCCGGAGGAGCGGGAAATTTATCATCGCTGGCGATCTGAACGCAAAACACCAAGCTTGGGGCAACGGTCGGAGCAATCGAAACGGCACCATCCTGAATGAAGACCTGCAGAGGGCCACTATACCATCTTAGCCCCGGACACTCCCACCCGGTTGAGTCGGTCTGGGGTCCATGCGACCATGGACATCTTCGTCAGCAACATGGGACACAACATCTCGCAACCTGTGGCATTCCAGGAGCTGAGCTCGGACCACTACCCGGTGGTGGCCGAAGTTGGATCCTCGGTAAACCGATTCGATGCTTCCCAGCGCAACTACCATCGAGTTAACTGGGCGCAATGTCAACACTGCGTCGACACAACCATCGACTACGATGTCCAACCGGGGACGCCCGAAGATGTTGACCGGTGTCTACAAACCATCGAGGAGGCGATTTCCCGGGCCAGGGAACAACACGTGCCAGTATCCAGACAGGTGAGTAACACCCTGAACCTTGACAGCCCTACCAAAGATCTCATTAGACTCCATAACACCATTCGTAGGCAGTACCAGCGTACTGGCCTGCCTAACTTGAAGACCAATTTTAAAGGATTAACAAAGATCATTCAGGCCAGGATAGTGGATCTCAGAAATAACGATTTTGCTAGTAAGATCCACTCTCTCCCAGATTGTGCTAAGCCCTTCTGGAAACTTACAAAAATTCTTAAAAACAATTTTATTCCCATTCCACCACTGACCCCACTGGATCGTCCCGGCGACAAACAGAAATAAACATAAACATAATTTTAGTAGTAGTAGTGCCTCAACTCATTTTCGCTTCGTTCGGCGGGTAAGCAGGTAGCAGTAGCAGCAGTAGGAAGGCGGTTCCTGTCAAGCGCGCAGCGTTCGTATTTTGCACCTCGAACTTTGCGCGTCATTCCTGTCGAGA